AAGCTCGGTGGTCGAGCGCGAGAATGGGCACTGACGTGCGGCACTTCGGTCAAAGCTGTGTTTCCCTCCTGGGTGAAGGTGAAATTGCAGATCTCACGAGTGTTCTCGCCGCTTAACCAGGCATATCGCGTGCGAGCGCGTTTCCTTGCCGCCCGACAGGGTAACAAGGAATTGGTGGACTTAGTCCAAGAGTTGCGTACTCTCATTGCCGGGATGGCAGCAGATCCCCTTCCGGAGGCGGTCACAGTGATCATCTTATGGAAGTCCTCCGCACTGGCGTGGCCAGAATGTAAGTCTTCCGTGTGCATACGTCTTCGTTTGAAGAGGCGTTAATGTGGCTTTGAATGCCGAATCTGATTTCAAGTCGGCACGACTGGTTGGAATGCACATTTCAACAGCTGGTCGAGCAGACCTGTGCCCATGGATCTCAGCTATGCTGAGGACGAGGAAGTAGATCTCCGAGCTGCCGGGCAGCGCACAAACACACGACGGTATTTTGTCTGTCGAGACACCCGTCACCTTCGGAACGGTTGCCCCTGCGCAAGGCGCGTCAAGGTTCTTCGAGCCACCGCCCTAATGCCAACTAGTCTGGTTCGTCGCGGGGAAAAGACACCACCCAGTGGGCGCGGGGCGACCTACTGGGGAAAACTTAATTCTGTTGAACCTCTGGGAGGTGTAGGTCAACAGGGCCCAGCCCCGAAGAGCTCCCTGCTCTTAAACACGGAACGTGTATGCAAGCCGGGCTTGCTGGTCGTAGAGGCGGCCGTAAAGGGCTTCGAGAAGCCATGGAAGATCCTCATCAAATCCGAAGCATCAAGCAATTATGCTCAACGCTTCACGATGGAAGGAAGTCAGCTATATGCCGAGGCGCTGAAAGCGCGGTTGGGTGACATCGTCACTGTTCACCTAGCGACGGGGAGGCGTGTCACGGTCCCGAAGGTCCCTGTGGACCTCGGAGTCGAGTTCCTTGACTTTGATACCGTGAAACGCTGTCTAGTCTTAGACTTGGATGCAAGGTATAACCTCATCCTAGGAATGGCATGGTCGGAACACCATGAGCCATATATTGATTGGAGGTCAAATACCTTGGGCGCTACGCGCACGTCTCCTGGTGGAGCTTTGGCGAGTCATTAACCCACCTCTGCTAGGAAACAAAAGCGCAATTGGTGAGAGCACTGGACCGAGGCTGTCGACGTGCTGAACATTGGAATA